TAAATAACTTTCACCCTTATGTGTGTTAAATATGATTTGGCATTTGTTTCATTGCAACACATGACATTTTATCCTCTGCACAAAAATAATTTTTTTTCTAAGCACTGTTTTAAAGTTACAGACCAATTCACAGAGCATGATATTCATTTGGAAATAAATATTAAAGATTTTACATACTAACATTCCCAAAGGAAGAATACTTTGAGTAACATAACATTTCACTAGAATCAGTGAATTAACACGATAATTTTTCTTTATTAATATAACTCTAAGGCATCGAAGGGGAATGGGAGAGGGGTGAACTAAATTGAATATCTGAATGACTTTCCTACCATTAAAACACTTAAAGAAATTGTTGCATTAGTATCAGGACTAATTTCAGAAGATTAAAAATATGCAACCACCTCCTGTCTTTAACATTTCTCCTTTTTCTCTTTTGAATCATTCATTTTTGTTTTTATAAAAATGTCATTTTAGAAAACCATTTGGGATTCCCTTTTTTTTTGGTAACTAAAAAGTTGCTTGTATATTTTTATGAACCCACTAAACTTAAACAGATCTCTTTAGAAAAATAATGTGGATATATTTTGCTTTCTACAGCCTAAAGAATGTTAAAATAGAAATGCTTTCTTGAATTCCCTCTTCTGGCTCAAGTTACTAGGTGGTCCCAAGTTACCAGAAGTAAAATTTATAAATCTAACCCCTAGTCTAGACATTTTCCAGCACTGACTGCAGTTCAAAAAATATTAATGTCTAGCCGGCAAAGTGAAACTCCCCCCAGTGATTTTGCAAATGACTAGAAAGTTAACCTTTTGCCAACTGCTCCTTCTGTGCATGGAGGTTATTAAAAAGAATCCAGGCATTTATAAGTGTGGGCTTTTTAAGACTGAAACACCTTGGCTTGACCCTTTGTGTCTCCTTCTGTTTATTCAGGCTTGGCCTCTGTGGCTGGAATGTGTGAACCTGAAAGGAGCTGCAGCATTAATGAAGACATTGGCCTGGGCTCAGCTTTTACCATTGCACATGAGATTGGTCACAAGTGAGTGAGTTTAAGAAAATCAAAATAAATTTTAGAGCTCCACTCCTTTGAGCAACTCACAACTACTGTGCGGAACACATGTGCTCAACCATATTTTACTGCCTTTTTGTCTGATTTCAATAGAGAATGTTATCATTTAGGGTGCTGGGATAAATCATCTTAAGAACTGGAGACTTGTTAAATAATCTTTCTGATTCATGACTAGTATCCTCCGAGTGGTGAATACATCACACTTAAGTTTTGTGATATATGTACATGTGCAGTAATTTAGTTTTAGCGTGGTCTACTCAACACCCAGCTCCTCAAAGTGAAATTGTTGAAATGATCTTTCTTTTCCTCAAGTGACAGCACCTTTATATTTTAAAATCATCATTGACACCACTTCCATAAAATTTACTTTGAGTTTTCACTCTTCATACAGCTTGTGAGCATCTTTTCCAGGCATAAAGTTGGTGCAATCATTGCTATGCAACTGGTATTTTCAGGTGTACTTGTGCGTCTTTAAAAAAAAAAAAGAAAAAAAAGAAATGGTGTTCCAAGAGTAGTGAGATATCATCCTTACTGCTTTTTAAGAGGATCTAGTTTTTAATATTTGTTTTAAATATATCTGGCCCCAAACTGTCCTATCCACCTCTCAGCAATAAAGCCCTTCTTTCTTTACTCCAAACAACAGGCAGTAGTAAATGTAAAAGCCTGCTCATGTGAAGGGAGAGGAGTTTGAAAACTTTAAAAGGATAGTCAAACATTTTTAAGTCAAGCAAGCAATCTATTTGCAAGAGCTCCTGACATTTGTATGATCTAAGTTTTACAGTCTGCTTTTTTTTGGTAGAGAAATGGGTGAGGGGAAAAGAACAAATAAAAATGAATGTTTATTATACACTTGCCTTAGCGATCATTCCTGAGATAAATCTGTAGTTCAGCCTTTTTTTTTTTTTTACCTTGAAAGAGGAGAGTAAAATTGGGTCAATCTGTTGCATTAGTTGGAAAAATTGCAATTTAAATTTTACCAAATGAGTATTGATTTATGGGTAACCTTAAGTAACAGGCAAGTTTCAAACCTGGATTGCCTCAGATATGGGGAAAAGTCAGTATTACACTTTTAATAAAGTCCTAAAAATATTGGTGTTCTAGTTTCCATTGCAATAAACAGCAGGGGAACAAAAGGGAAAAGCCCTTCTTATGCAGGCCGTTTATCTTCAGCGCACTTACAAATTTAGCTCATTAATGACTGTCATAATCTTATGCAACCAGACTGAATGTAATAGGTTCTGTTAGATTCAATTAAATCGAAAGGTCAGGAGAAGCAACACAGCATGGATGAGTAATGTGTGTATGCAAGCACTACTCCTTCATGCAGTTACAAGTAAGTCAAGGCCAGCATATGCTTCGTAAGTCCCCTTTTTCTTGTATGTACTTACATAGCCCATTTGAGGGTTTATCTCTGTATCTTTTATTAAGATTCTAACTGAACTACTCTCAGGCTCCCTAGATTTTTTTTTTGTTAAGCTAATGCAGGGGTGGGCAAACTTTTTGACTCGAGGGCCACAATGGGTTCTTACACTGGACCAGAGGGCCGGAACAAAAGCATGGATGGAGTGTTTGTGTGAACTAATATAAATTCAAAGTAAACATCATTACATAAAAGGGTACGGTCTTTTTTTTTTTTTTTTTAGTTTTATTCATTTCAAATGGGCCGGATCCGGCCCGCAGGCCTTAGTTTGCCCACGGAATGTCTAATGGGTAATTCCTTTAAATTTTTCCTAAGATGAATAGTTTATACCTTCTGTAAAAGAATGTGCAAGAAGTAGAATATACCTCTTAAGATTTATGTTCCTTTGAATAACTTTTTTTTCACTGTTAATTCTTGTTTGATAGTGAATGTTAGAAATGGGTGGTGGTGGGGGGGGGCGGGATACACAGAATGCTTTATAACAAGAGCCAGAAGAAATGCTTCCATTCAAAAGTATTATATGACTGACTAGAAATTAGCTTTCTTTCCATGTCCAGTTGATTACTATGTGACTATCCCTTTTCCCCCAGACAAGTAGGCAGGATGTGATTAACATGTTATCTTTTTCAATATGTGAAATTGCATTTGGTCAGTTAGGGAAAATCTATTTCATGGATTAAGAGTCCTTCACTTGCTTTTAAGATCTTAGGGTTTAGCTTTGAGGAACCCAGCAAGTCAACCTGGCACAATTCATATAATTAAAATACAGTGCTTTCTGTTCTTCTGAAACAAAGCAATAGCCATGATAAACATCAAGTATACTTTTCAGATGAAGTATAAGTGAACTTTTTTTGTAATTTGTATTGTTTAGGGTGGATGTTAAGTGAGATGATGAAATCTGCAGATTCATCACAGTGAACAACATTTGACCATTGATTACTGAAAAGTGCCCCTACTAAGTCATTAGACTGTGTGAAAACTGTCTACCTTTTAAAAAATAGTGTAGAATATGGTTTTGTACCCAGTGTTTTCTCATGTAGGGACATAATATCCATTTTAACCAGCTATGGGATAACTTTTTTCTTTGGCTGGGCCTTAATGACTACTTTTATTTTTCTTCATACTTTTGTGAAAACAAGAAGTTAGTTTCCTTGTCAAATGAAAAATTGAGGTTTATGCTATTTTTAAATGGCATGTCTACCTCTAATGTAGGCCATAAGCCAAAGGCACTTAATGAAACTGTATAGAAAAGAATGTTCTTTGAAAGATTTTTTTCATTAATTATGTTGTTGCCATAGTTTCAGAAGTTGAAAAATTATGGTGTTAAAGAGGGGTGGCAAGAACTCAACCAGACCTCTAGTTATATTGAGAAAACTATCTAATGTATCCCTACTGTACAAAAATAATGTTTAAAAAAAGAGATCTTAAAATATTCATATTTTTAAGGGATGCACATTGAAGTCTGCAGGACTGAAGTGACATGATGTCTGAGATTTACTTTTAAAAGAAAGGGGGAAAAGAGAAAGATAAAGCAAGAATAGCAGCATGTTGCATTTTATACTCATCATGATGTGTGGATGGGAGTTCATTAGGCTGCTCCCTCTACCATTGTATATGTCTGATTTCTTTTGCAAATAAGAATAGGTCTTAAGGCCACAAATCTTTTAAATGTGACAACTCATTTATTAACTAATAGTGACTGAGTGAACTATAAATCTGATTTTGAGAAAGTGTAAAGAAGTGTTAAAAGTTGTATTGAAAGCTGCAGGGGTATATCAGTCTTGCTTTCAGAAATCAATGTCAGTGTTTGGTTTTACCAATTGGGGCATGCTTTCTGTAGAAGACTGGCTAGGAGATGACTCTTTTTTTAAAGGAGAAATGTGCCAAGACTTCAGGATAAAATTGTAAAGTAAATTATGTGTGCTAGGAAGCTCCAATTACTGTTTTCTTCCATCCAAATGTCCCTCTCCTGGTTAAAGTACCTGTCTTTATTTATTTTTATCCTCACCTGAGATACTTTTTCATTGATTTTGAGAGAGAGTGGAAGAGAGAGGGAAAGACAGAAAGAAACATCGATGTGAGAGAAACACATCCATAGGTTGCCTCCTGCACATGCCCTGACCAGGGCCTGGGCCAGGGAGGAGCCTGCATCCGAGGTATGTGCCTTTGACCAGAATTGAATCGAATCTGGGACCCTTTGGTCTGCAGGCCGTCGCTCTATCCACTGAGCCAAACCGGCTGGGGCCCTACCTCTCTTTAAATGCTTGAACAGTGCTGTGCTCTCATAATAGAAGGTTAATAATAAACATACACGAAAGTAGTTGGAACTTTAATACCTTTGCCTAGTTTTGGTATCAAAATAATGCTAGTTTTATATAATGAGTTAAGAAGTATTCTGTTTCCTGGAAGAGTTTACGTTCCCATGAGTACATTTTAAAACATTATTTAGTATAATTTAAATACAATGAATGTGCTTCTATTTTGTGTATGGTTCAATGAATTTTGACAAATGTATATAACCAGGTAATCACCACTACCATCAAGATATCAACATTTCCATTAACTAAAAAAATCCCCATGTTTCCTTTTACAGTCAATCTGCACCCTCCCTCCCCCTTACCTGGCACAGATCTCCTTTCTATCATTACAGATTAGACTTGTCTTTTTGGTAGTTTCATTTAAGTGAACTTACATAGTGGCTACTCTTTTGTGTCTAGGTTCCTTCCCTCAGCACATAGTTTCTGAGGTTCATCCATGTTGTGTATATTAATAGTTGTTTTTTTTTTCTGAATAGTATTTCATAGCACATATCCCATTTTAGGTTGTTTCTAGTTTTAGTATTATGGATAGGACTTCTGTGAACATCCATGTATAATGATTGTATGGAAATACGCTTTCATTTCTCTTGGGTGATATTGCTGGTAGTATGGTATGTGTTAGTTTCATTTTATAACAAATGCACAGACTGTTTTTCTAAGTGGCTATATACCATTTTGCATTCCCACTAGCAATCGATGAGCATTTGGTTACTTCAGATCCTTGCCAACTCTTTGTGATTTTAATCATTATTATGCATTTTAGTGGTATCTCATTGTGGTTTTAGGGAGTTGATCATTGATTTTCTGATAGACTAATCTCATTGTGGTTTTAAGTAGTTGATCATTGATTTTCTGATAATGAGCATCTTTTCATGTGCTTATTTGTCATTTATTATCTTCTTTGAATTCTCAAATCCTTTTGCCATTTTTTAACAAAACTGAGATGTTTTCTTCTTATTGAGTTGTAGGACTTAACAATAGTATATTCTAGGTAAAAGTTGTCATCATGTATACATAATGTGAATATTTATTTTGTCCAAGTCTGTTGCTTGCCATTCATTTTTTTAATGGTGCCTTGTGCAAAACAGAATTTTTATAAAGTCTAATTTAAAATTTTCTTTTATGATTTGTGTTGTTTTGTGTCCTAAAAAATCTTTGCCTACTTCAAGATTTTCTATTTTTGTCTAGAAGTTCTATACTTTTAGCTTTTGGTATATGTGCTGCTGAAGTGA